TGAGGCCAACTGCGGCTAGAGCCCAGGCTGGGCACCTTGGTGACAGGGAGGCCACTGCCAGTAGTGCAAGGGCTGGGGAAGAAGCCTGGTGCAAAAGGTCTGGGTGCAACTCCTGGAGCACACCAGAAAACAGAAAAGTTAATTTCCGCTCCGTGTGTCTTTACACCTCAAGTAAGCAGACCTCAATACTTTCAAAGGTAAAGCCACGCCTCCACCCTCTCAGCGCCACCACAGCCATTTTACACACACACACACACCCCATCACCAGCCCACTCGGTAAGCTCAAGTCCCCTTTCCGGTCCCATCTGCTCACCCCTGCCTGCTAGTCAGCAACAGACCTCAGAAGGCTGGCAAGACCAGAGGGACTCAGGAGACACCTGGAGGAGCTGCCTCTCACATCGCAGCACCAGGAGAGGCGGCCCTTGCTGCTGTCCTCCCTGTCGTCCCGTGTCACTGCAGAGTCCAGGTGGGAGCACAGCTCCCACGCTCTTAGCTGCTCACCCTGACGCCAGCCCTCAGGCGAGGCCTCTGTCCACAGTTGGATAAGAGGTCTCTAAAATATTCTCCTGCTGGGCATAGTGGCGCACACCCGCAGCCCCAGCACTCAGGAGGCTAAGGAAGGACTGCTGTGAGTTCAAGGCCAGCCTGGGCTACACAGTGAGACTCTGTCTCAAAAAACAAAAAAAAAAAAACAAAAAAAAAAAAAATTTTTTTTTTTTGCTGGGCATGGTGGCACAAGCCTGTAATCCTAGCATTCTGGAAGGCTGAGACAGAAGAAGGCAGGAGAAGGCAGGAGAACCGTTAAGTTGGGAGTCTAGCCTCTTTTTTTTTTTTAGTACTGGGAAATGAACTCAGGACCTTGCACATGCCAGGCAGGTGCTTGTGCTGCTGAGCTATATCCCCGGCCCCAAGTCTTCTTTATTCCTCATAGTCTTACTGTGACCTGGGCTTCTGGCAAGGGCTTGCCCCTCCTGAGAGCAAAGCATCCCGATCTCTAGCCCTGGCTGTCCTCAGTCCCTTATCCCTTCTGGCATGAAAGCTGCCAGCTTGCACAGCTGTAACACCTGCACTGTAGGAGGCAGAGGCAAGAGGGCCACAAGACTGCGTCCAGCCTGGACAACTCGGCAAGATCCTGTCTCAAAATAAAAATAAAAGCTGGGCATGGTGGCGCACACCTGTAATCCCAGCATTCAGGAGGCTGGGGCAGGAGGATCACTGAGAGTTCATGGCCAGCCTGGGCTACAAAGTGAGCTCAAGGCAAGCCTGAATTGTGTACCAGACCCTGTCTCAAAAGGACCAAAAAAAGAGATCACACAGTGTGGCTGTGAGTATAAAGTAAAGTGCATCAGAACTCACTGTAACAGTGAAGTGCTAGAAAAATGTGTGGCCCCTGGCAGAGCCTGCCACAAAACAGATTTTCACTAAATGTAATTGCTTGTATTTTGGGCACTGAGGGTTGAACCCAGGGCATAGTGTGTGGTCAGCATGCACTCTACCAGTGAGCTATACCTACAGCCGTGATTTTCAGCTTAAATTTTTTTTTTTAAAACTGGGGATTGAACCCAGAGTTACCGCACTGCTACATCCTCAGCCCTGTTTTATTTTTTATTTTGAGAAGTTAGCTCACCTGGCATCCTCTAGGGTGACTCTTATCTTGCTTTTTCTCTCAGCCCAAGCTCGCACTGCAGGGCCAGATTTTTCCTCAGTTTTACTTTTTCAAATAAACTTTGCTACCATTTAAAAAAGTCATTATAGTGGGGCATGATGGCGCACACCTGTAACCCCAGCACTCAGGAGGCTGAGGCAGGAGGATTGTTGGGAGTTTGAGACAGGCCTGGGCTATAAAGTGAGCTCAAGGCCAACCTGAACTGCATAGTGAGACCCTGTCTCAAAAAGACAAAAAAACAAAACAAAACAAAAAAACATTAAATTGCCTGGGATGGGCTGAAACTTGCAATCCTCCTGTCTCAGCCTCCCAGGGCACTGGCTAATAGGTGTGTGCCAACATATCCAGGTCAGTAAAAGTTTGGTAAATGCTATGCAAGACAATAACTGTTCATGTTGCTGTGTCCCAGTCACCTCCCGAGAATGCTACCTACCCATGGGTAACGGGTGTCCCAGAGTGTAAGACGCTGCATTCACCCAGAGGCACTTGCTGAGAACAGCCCACTTCACTTCCCTGGAGGCTCCCAGGGCTCTCACTGCCAAGCAATGTGCAGCCCCACCTGCAGAAAAGCAGCTCAGAACGAGCCACAGCGAGGCGACGGGGGACCTCACTGGGACTGGCTCTTGTGCTTCGTGAACACTCTCTCTTACAGCCAGGAAACGCCGAACACTTCTCTCAGGGTACCGTGCTACTATGGAGAAGTGAAAATCATGTTCAGGGCTGGGCGTAGCTCAGAAGCACAGTGCTTGCCTAGCAGGTTCCAGGTCCTGGGTTTGACTCTTAGCACACAGTGAAAGACACCTAAGACTGTCCTCCTGTGACCCCACTGTCCTTTCCCAGCTTCCTCTTCCTACAACCCAAAGCCAAACAGGCTCACTCCCAAGAAGCTGCAAGTTTACATCTTCTCTAGCTGAGCTGTTCTTCCCTTAGAAGTCCATCTCTTCCACTTCCAGTGCGGTTGAAGTAAATCCAGTTTATGGGAACAGGCTTAAGGAGGCAGCACACTTCCTAGGTGACCGGGCTGAGCGGAGCGGGCGTCTATTGCACTGAGGTCGGAGCACACACAGGGTTCCTCTGGCTGCTAACCCCTGTTGCATGGCAGCTGCGCCTCGCTCGGGGCACATTCCATCCCCTCCCCAGGCTCAGACCACTCTCCAGCCTAAGAAACCCAAGTCTACTCTCTTGGAAATGGGATGAACTTGTCACGTCACTCGAGCAGCACAGAACTGGCCAGATGAGCTGTTCCAGGAGGACCCCAGCGGGCACTCCAGTCCTAGGCGAGTCTGGGGAAGGGCAGAGTGAGCACTCTGAAAGAGGGGCTTCAAGGGACCACAGAGAGAGTGACTCCTGAACATCTCTGCACAGGGAAGAACACACCCATGAAATCCAGGATCTTTCCAACCCAAATTTAATTTTTAGTTTCTGACTCTTCTTTCCACCCTTTTGAAGACTTGACAAGTGATAGGTTTGGTAAGAAAAGTAAAGTTTTCTGGTACTCACTCCCCAGGGTATTATATTACTTCCTGCTGCCTTCCTATAAAGTGGATGAGAAACAGATTCATAACACTGCTGGTAAAACATAAAACTGACCAGTGGAAAGCGAAGCACCAAAGGCAAGATAATCCACAAACCAAACAACACAGAACCACAGCTGTTTGAGGTCAAACGGAAGACGAGAACTGCGTCTCAGCACCCCAGGGGCCAACACTGTGCAGACCCAGCACAGGCCATGAGAGCAGAGGCCCAGGACCTTTCAGTCCTTCGAGAAAAGCACGTCTCTCTCAGGTGATCAATCGCCCCTGCACTCCTCACCAAAGGTCCAGTACAGACTTCGCGTTGTAAACACCAAAGGGTATCTTGGTGCCTACTGCTCTCTGAACACACTCAGAACAAACTGTTTCATTCAAATCTTTTACCATTTCACCAGTTAGCAGAAGACCACCCAAAGAGCCCCTGTGCTCTTAGCAAGAGGTATCAGACTAAGCCACAGTTTTAAAATCTACAGATTTCAAAGAATAGGGAAACCTGAATGCCACAGCAGCCTTCAGTATGGAACCCAAGACCCTTCCAAATCTGTCCCCAGCCACCGCTGAGAACCCTGTGGCATCTCCCTGTATGGGGCGTGCGCGCTCTCAGGCCTGTCATCGGCCATCATCCCAGCTGCTTAAGTGTCTCCCTGCTTTGCAGAGCTGCAGCAACCGTACACCCAGAGAGGTGGGGAATTTTCCCAGAGCTCGTCCAGAGTGAGACTCGAAGTAGACTCCACGAGACTTCAGAGAAGGCAGCAGCTACTAACACCCAAGACACATCTCACTCATCCACCGAACACCTAGTAAACACCACTCTGCGCAAGCTATGCACCTTCCAGAGTGAACAAACGGGCACGGCCACCACCTGCACAGAGGAGAACACGGGGAAACCGGCGTCAGATAAGGAAACATACAAAGCTAATGCACAGGGTCACCTCGGGGCCCCTCTGCCCAGGACACACCAATCTATACCTGTTGTCCCCGTAAAAATAGCCCCTTTCCTCCCCAAACTGCCCCAAGTCGTGCCATCCATGATGCGGTCCCCTCAGCTGTGCAGGACTAGCCAGTCTGTGTGTAACAGTGGCAAGTCGCCCGAGCCTGGGTGAGCTGAGACGACTTCTCGGAAGAGGCATGTGTACCTGCGTCCTGCTGGGAGGAAGGGCGCTCAGGAAGCAGAAGCACAGGCTACTATGGAACTTGGGGCATCGAGACTGATGGGCAGCAGCCAAGGCCAACGCCAGAGTCAAAAAAGGGACTTGGAATTCCCAAGATTAATGTGGGACAAACATATCCCGTACATCTAATGAAGTGATAGACCTCAAAATCCAAAGGTAAAACAAAAGTCAAAGTCGGAAAAAGTGACTCTGGAACTTTTGAGGGTCATGAATCCTCTAGCATTTAAAAACCACTGCAGACCATCACCCCTGCATTCGCAGGCACAGGGCCACACTACCTGAGGGTACCGGCCCGGCCCTCACCCTGCTGCCCCAGGCTGTGCCTGCAGGCCTCCTTCACAAATGATGACAGCCTGCCTCAGAGTTGCACTGGGGACCAAGGCCCAGGCCTCCTGCATGTTTGGCAGGCACTCTTCCCCCAGCCACACCCGAGCCATCGCTTCTTAAAGTCTACTTCCAATACCACCAGAATAAAGACAGAAACTCAATAAATACGTTTTCTTAAAAAAAAAAAAAAAAATCAGAACAAGCAATTGCAAGTCAAATAAACACAGACATCATGCCCATATCACCCAGGAGGCAAGACTTCTCCTTGCCGCCATTCTGGCACCAGCCTGCTCTGGTCCTTACCTTACTAACATTGAGTGAAGCTAGGGGAGGAGGAGTTTCTGTTCGGTCGTTAATTATTTCCACTTCTGAAACGTACTGTAAGTTTATGAGCAGGATGTCTGCGTGGTTGGGCTTTCCACTGGATGAGGGACATTCTGGTGAGAAAATAAAGTTAAGGAACGCAGGCCCGGAGAGGTTCCCGCACAGCTGTGTGACGTTAAAGGTCACACGAGGCCCCAACTCTTCCCATCACCTCCCTCCTGCCCAAACTCCAAGCTAAAGCCTCAAAGACAGTGGCAAACACAATCTGAACGCCTTTCGCTGCTGTCATCTAGGATGTGAGAATCACATGCAGACCCAGCCCTTTGTTCTTGGTATCATGTCCCCCATATCTGCATGGTGCTCTCCTATTTTTTCAGCTTTAAGATCTCCCAGGTTTGAGAAAACTACAGCACTGGGAAAGAAATCCCACTGCCCTCCCTAGTTCAGTGCCCCACCCAACCATCCATTCTCCACCATGCACCAAGAGCCTCCCCTATGCCAGTTCCAAGTGCGTGAGCTCTGCTTTGCCAAGAAAGCCCTTGAAGTCAAGATCTAGGTGGGACCTCTCGTTAAAAAAAATAAAAGGAAATGAAAAAAACGACTATTCTTGTATTTAATAAGACCTCTCCTAAACCAGGTATCTACAAGTAACGGTTAAAGGAATTAAAAGACTTGACACTCAAAAGGCATCTGACACTCAAGGGCATCCCACTCATTAGGAAACTTCCTTTTTAAAAACGCCATGAAGCTGGGCGTGGCAGCGCACACCTGTCATCGCAGCACTGGGAGGCTGAGGCAGGAGGATGGCTACAAGCTGAAGGCCAGCTTGGACTACATGGAGTTCAAGGCCAAGACCAAGTACACAGTGAGACCCTGTCTCAAAATAAGTAAGTAGATGCACAGGAAAGATGCCAAGATGCCATAAAAGATTATACTTCTCAAAACAGAATTTTTAAAAATTAAAAATTCGGGTAAACCCACCTGTAGCTCAAATAAAAGGCGCAACCACGGGCACACTTACTCCAACCAGGAAGTGTTCCCGAGACTGAGTCGGCTGGAGTAATTCCAAAATCATTTCCACCTCAAAGGAGCAATCCACCTTTTCCATTCAGTTTAACGCTGCTACTCTCAAAAGCGGGGCAGGCTCTGGAAAAGCCGGGCTCCAGGCGCGGGCCCGGAACTCACTGTCACCTGTAACCCACACAGCCTCACACGAGCCCCTGGAAGACGTGGCAAGCCCTCCCCCAAGCCCTCCCCGGTGCCTGGGAAACCTACGGATCCGCACGCAGCCCGCTCAGCGGCACCGCGCACACACGGGCACCGGCGCAGAAGCCGCCGGCTCACACACAACTGCCCCGCAGCTGTCCCGCCGCGGCGTGGCAAGGCCACCGGGTCACCGCGCCGCCGCCCGCACGCCCCCTGCCCA